ATTCCTGCTTATGGGAGGTGTCACTGCAAGTATTTTATTTTCCTTTTGCTATGGAAAGTTTGTTCCTCTTGTATTTGAAGGTTCTGCTGGTAAAAGAGACTTTTTTTTCTGAGGATTAGACCTTAGTGCTAGACTTGGGAGCCTTGGCAGTTTTTTTTCTTTAATGTTTCTCTGAAAACTGCATCTCGGAAAAGATGATTTATAGTAAGACAAAAGACCTCGCACAGCAAAAGGAAATTGAACTTTTTTTTGTTTAAAGCAAACAGTTCCATCTCTGTCTTTATGCTTCTGAATGCGTGAAAACAGGAATCTTCTCACTTTAAAGAGTCATTGCTGTGTTAACACTTCCTGATGATTTTGTAGGCTGGAAGTACCATCCAGTGTAGGGGACTCTCTGCTCTCCAGAGAGAAGTCAGTGGATTCATGAAGAGTAATGCTTAAGCAGAAGCGTAAAAAGGCCTGGCTAATTAAATGGAGCAAGTACCCATGAAAATAGGTAGCAGTCTGATTAACATTACTAATACTCCCCTGACTGTGTTATGGTTCCCTACCTAAGATTCATTTTATTTCATAGTTTAGTTGGTGAACAAGAGACCTCTGTAACATTTTGTTCTGAACCAAATGGGTGGGAATAGATCTTTCTTGATTGCCTTTGCCACTAAACAGAAGTCTGTTAATGGCATAAACTAAACTTTCATCCATGGTCTGCCCTGGAAAACTGTGACACCAATTTGAAAGAGTCAAAAATAGAGGTGTCTGTGCAACTTCTGTAATCTGTTGACCATTTTTATCACTAACCTGAAAATCTGTAGACCAGACCTTCTCCACATGCTAATGATGTTATGTCTCTCTAGAAGGCATCTGAGCATGTCTGGGCTGCTGTGAGCTCCCCAGCCAGTTAGGTGGCTCCTACACGATACCATGCATAGAAGATGCACGCTGCACATAGCAGCTGTCGTGTCCAGACAGCATCGAGGTACACCTCAGCTGACATGGAACAGCTTTTGAGCAGCAATAGCCCTTAGCCAGAACTGGGAACAGAGCCAGTAAAAGATTTGGTATCTTGATCAGTTTTTCCGATGCCTGCCTCCTGACTCTTTGGCACTAAGAGATAGCAGCAATATATTCTTTTTTTTTTTTTTTTAACGTTTTCCTGGAAACTGCATCTCAGAAAATACGGTTTATAGAAAGACAGAAGTCCTTTGCTTAAAGCAAACACTTACAACTCTGTCTTTCTGTAGCAATATATCCTATCCTACATCTTAGTTTTCCCACTCCCATGCATGTTCTTCCTCAACACACAGGTGTAGTTGTAACGGCATTTCTCTAGCTAGAAATGTTTAATATTAATTTGCATGTGCAATGGGATAATTACCATGTTAGGCTAGGAGTGGCCTAGATCTGTTTAGTCATGCCTGAATTTTTGTTTGGTTTGGGTTTTTTCCCTCCCCTCAGGTGAACGGAAGAGCCCCTACGTGGCTGTGTGCTGTGTCGTGATGGCCTTCAGCATTCTGTTTGTACAGTAGTGACTGGAGAGTGTCCCCTACACCCTACTACCAAACAGCAAAGCATGGAAGAACTTCTGACAGGAAAAGATGGGAAATTGTCATCAAGCCTCCTCTCGCATGTTGGATAGCCTGTCTCTTAGTGGACATTCCCCCCTGCAAAAGGACCATCATGTACAGTATTAGTGATCATAATGTAACTAACTCCAGATGACATGTACTTACTAATGTCAAGTCAGCACTGACACTCCTGATGTAACTCTTGAAAGGGTGTCTGTTGTATATCTGAGTTTCAGGGGAGCTTTTTTTACACCATGCAGTTGAAAAGGCTTTTAATTTTTTGTTTGATAGACCTATTTAATGAAACTTAAAAATTATAAATCTAGCAATGGCAATAAGACCACTCTTACAAGAATAAAAAAACATTGTGACTCTAAGATATGTTTATGAAAGTTTTTTCAGTTCTTACTATCTGAACAATTCCTGTCATTTTGTGATAGCTATACTCACATACTAAAAATATGACCTCTGGCCTAAATTACGTTCAGCTTTTGTTTTCTAAACTTGCAATTGCTCAAATAATCTATCAATATTTTTATTGTTAAGATAAGGTATGAATAAAGGCAGGGACCGTAACTGTAGTGATATCTGACTAGCTGCTGAGAAGGCACAGATGTGGGATTTGAGAACCTGGACTACTCTGTGTAAAATATCATGTATTCATTTTTAGAGATCTAGGTCTCAGGTAAATCATTCCCCAGCGTTTTTCAATATTAAGACAAAAAGATTCTAAATGCTCTACTGCTGTTGTTGCATGTAATACAAGGTTGCTAAATCAGCTAAATGAACAGTTAGCTTCTGAGGAGTCTGCAGTTAAGGAAGTTGCATGTCCCAGTATTCTAAAGGTTAAAGAAAACAACTAAATTAGATTACACTCACTATTAATAAAGATTAGATTACCTTTATCAATACTTGCCCTTAGCTTTTATTCTATAATTTTTCAAACTTTCAGTAGTGTAGTAACTTTTTTTTAATAGTGCCTGGCAGGTGTGTTTACACCAGACAACTATATGACTTCATATTGACTGCATTTGATAGAGTTTCCGTCAGTATTTTTTGTTGTTCTGAAAACGTGTGTGATCAAAATGAGCTAAGCCGGCAATAAAACACACTGAAAGGTATGTAACTGTTGTCATTCTTGTTTGAAAAACTTGTTTCATAGATCCAAATTACCCTGCATTTAGAAAGAAAGTGATTATTAGTTATTACTTTGGTATTATCTTACATACACCTGCATATCTAAATCACCATCAGAAGTACTCGTCCAAAACTCTTTTCTAATCTGGAGCCAGAAAAAACAGATTTCTCCAATTTAGGCCAAATAAATGCTCCTGGCTGTAAACCAGGCAGGTTCAGAGGAGTACAGAGCTGTATGATGATGACCATACTGTGCACACATACAAGCCTTAAACTGTGCAGTAGATCTGGGGAGAGGCAAAATCTATTTCTGTAACTTTAAATGTGGATACTGCTCCAAACATAGCATCAAAGCAACTCACTTCTGGATTTCAAAGGTGCCATTCCTAGACTGGGGGGAGGGAAATTCCTGAGGAGTCTTGGTTTTTGACTGTCGGGTGTATACATGTTCAAAATATGCAAAGAATCATCTAATAACTTTGTATTAAGCAATTATATTCTAGTTTTTAATATTTATAGGACTTTATTATAAATAATGGTGTTTGTATGTTATTCACACATTTCCAATTAACAGAAAGCTGTCCTAGTTATCAGATTAATTCATAATAATCTTTTATGTTTAGCTGTGACTAGGAATACCAGTGATACAACCCAAGGAATTTTTTTAATTCTGAGAATCCAAAAACTTGACATGAAGGCCTTGTGTTGCAATACCCTTTCCTGTTCACAGCATTTTATCGTTGAAGTTCAGACAAACAGGCCTCTTCCTACTTGTGATTTGTTGTTCAGTCTTCAGAGTTATTTCTTATACATCAGTTCTTCATTTTGTCTTAAATGCGGGTAGTTGATGGGTACATCCTAGTTTGGCACTTTTTATTTTCCACTTTATATGACATTTACAGGATATTCATGGCCTACTAGCTGCATGATTGCTCAGCAGTGCTACTTAAGCAGCAAAGTAAATAACACATTTTTCAGCAGCTGCTGACAGCATTAGGTTGAATGCAAGCGTTAGAAATGATTGTAGGCAGAGATAAGTGTCATCTATGGTGGGGCCGCTCAACACTTGCCTCTAGTAAAAGTATCTGAAAACAGCATCTTTAAACTGTGACAAACTTCAGTTGCTTTGAAATTACTCCTTTAGACAGGTGTTTGCCTTAGGATGAGTTCTTTGTTTTTCAAAATTTTGGCTTTGAAGAGATTGATACCTCATCTCTTTTACTAAGATATGAAGAAAATACTGTTTTCCCATGTTAGAATCATAAAGCCATTTTGCTTTCTTTGCCTTCTTTTTGTCATGTAAAAGAGGCATGAGAAGTGAGGAATACCTTGACATTTGACCAAGGTATAAATGTTGTGAGAAGGAAGGGCAGAGTGTAACTTTGGGCACACACGCTTGGTAAAGCTCTGCTACAAGTCATCCTTAAACTCTCAGCCTGAACTGTGTCATTTTCAAAGAGCAATAAATAAGTTCCAATAGAGCTCTATCAGAAGAGGTGTCAGGGAAAATAGCTTTTTCTTGCACTCAGTCTTTGCTCTGAGTCCTAGACCGAATAGAGAAATGAAGTGCTTATTACCAAATTATTTAGGTGCTAAAGTAGCCTAAAATGGCTTTGACATAAGTTGACAGAGCAGATAATGGATATCACAGGTGGCTGAGAAGACAGCAGCAGAAGTTTCTGTCTGAAATACAGGAGCTTATGACCGCAGTAGGTCTGTACACCTTATCCTATGTAGAGGTGCTGGAAGGTGCACAGGGAGTGAATGGAGTAGTGATTAAATATGACTTATGCTATAGTTGTGCCTACTACTGTAGAAATGTACTTCCTCGTTGGGACTTCATCCTTTTATCTGAACAACATCATGGATGGTGGCTGTAACATCTGGCAAGCTTCCCTATCTGTACATGTTGCACAGATTGCATGAAAGGTGAGGGTGGCGTAGGCTGTGGTTTTAAGTGCAGCCTAGAGGAGGGGGTCCCATCTGTTTTTCTCTACTAATGAGAGAACAACAAGATTTCAGAATTATAAAAGAGCATTTTGTAGCAAGACAGCATACCTTGGATCAAGATTCTGCAACTTGAAAAATATCAAGTGTTCTCCCTTCTAAGAGTTGCACAAGCAGAAGGAACAGGTACGGACCCTACATCCTGTGTTTGGCACATGATGGAAGTGCACTGTCTGAAGCATTTTACATTTGTGATTTCAACTCGTATAGACATACCTGAGCCGTCTTGTGGATTGACAGAATTACAGGCAAGAGTAGGAGTCCATCTGCGAGCCCTTTCCTTCTCAGGCACTGACTAAACTGAGCTGTGTGCTGCCACAGCTGTATTGCTATTGCTTCACTAAAGGTATACCAAGCTAAAATTTACTGAAATGGTACAAATTTGCAATCTTGGAACAAAATGTGGCAATCTGTTTGCTGTATGCAAATCCAAATTTACTGCTTAACAATGCAACTAAATAAATTACTGCAATAAAACCTGAAACACGATGTGTTGTTCTTTGAATACACAGAATATTTTATACCCTTGCATGTACTTGCTATGCATTAATGTTATATTAACTTTCATTGACTTCTGCACTGTAAATGACCTCAAATTCAAAGCAGGGATTTAGGAAGACTAAATTGAAAATCATAATAGCCATGTTGGGAAATGAGTAAAGCATGAGTAAGAGATGGGATCACCGTAAAGGTCTAATGTTCTGGAGAGACTGATAAGCAAACGGGCAGACATAACTAGTGGAGGAGGAAACAAAAAGTGGAGTCCAAGGATGACTCGAAGATTTCATGTTCTTGGAACAATGTTATTGTTCTATGAATGCCCTTTCTACCTCATTAACCGCAGCCAGTGAGCAGTGGAAATACACTGTCACCAAGAGGTGAAGTTGCAGTGTGGTAAAGGAAATAATTACTCTGCTCTGAGGCTTTTATTCTTTCAGTTCATTCACCCGTTGAAACAATTCGTGTTGCCTGTGAAGACAACACGTTATTCACAGATAAAGCAACCTGCAGTCATTCTTTACAGCCCCTAGATGCAAAGCAAAGCATTAAACATACCATTTTGCAATGGACAGTTAGAAATAGAGCGAGGATTACTGTCATTTCCAGGATTATGACTGGTATTTTCCCACCACTGAACCCTGCAAAACATGCCTGGATCTCTGATTACTGCTTGCAGTTAAAGCCACCCTTTTCATCCTTCCTGGTGTCTCCCTAATAGATCAATAAGGGCAATGGAGGCACAATGTCTCCAGTTCTATCCCATTGACATCAATGGGAGAGCCCACCATCTAATGCTTAGAAAGGCTCACCATGATCTAGTCATTCCTTCCACCCTTCTCCCTTTCATGCCATAACTACTCTGGAGAAAAGAAAACCAACATCTTCCTAATAGATAAAAATGCTGACCTTGGTAAAAAACACCAGAAGCCAGGAAAGTGTGATCTAAACCTGCTTCTAATACTCATGCGGTGACTTTACATTGTCTAGTCAAAACATTCCCAGTTAAGGAAGGTTTTCCAGCCTATTTTTTTTCCTGCCTTTTCTCTTGTTTTCCTTGAACATTGTTAGTCATTCCAGGCACAGCTGACGAGTGTTTTCAACATATATTACAAGGCCCATATAGGTTCCACATGTATTTGATGGCACTTGGCTAGCTAGAAAAGTAGTTTTCCTTTAGCTCATGCAATGCAATGTAATCAGTATGATGGGTATGGAAGATACATCGCCACATTGAAAAAAAGGATTTGAACATGTGTCCTGAATTGTTGTTTGCTTCACTACAGTTCTTATATTTTATAAATAATACCTTTTTTCAT